AGGCAGTGCCCCCGGAAACTAAGAAGCCATTATCTACAATTATTGTTTCCTGCAGACCATCATAGCACACCAGTGAGATTATTGGTACGACCTCTTTCCATTTCGGAAAGCCAAGCTACAATTGCTAAATGGTATATCCAATTTATTGGATCGACAAATTTTGTGTGAATACGAGATCTGTCTATTGGTAATCACAACGATTCGATATATGGCAAACAGATCCAGGTGGAAAGTCAGACACATTAACCAACATTGTCTGAAATGATTTAAGTCATCCAGGTATCGTGAAATATTTCTGTCAGTCTGATATTATGAAAGGACACATAATGCAGAAGTTGACCAGATGGTCTAAAGTAATCCCTACTGGCACTGATGGCGGTTTGAGTAGTAACTTCAGTAGCAGGACTGTCAATATCATTCCAAGGCTGTTCTGGAATGACGGTGATTCCAAAGCAGTATCCGGTTGCAATCTTGCATTTTGACCATTTATCTGAATAGTAATATAATTTCGTTTGCTGGGTGTTGTGAATCAGCAAATTGCCGGGAAACGGATAGATTTCTCAACTGGTTTGAAACTGACTTCAGATATAGATTTTGACGGAATTTAGACCAATTAGGCGCGGCTGGTAGTACCCCCCCTTATGACCGACTGTTTTGCACTTTCGACAAATTTGACCTTCGCATGGACAGCAATTTATGAAATCCCATGTCATCCAATAGCAACATAAGGAAGAAGGAGTCATTTTGAAACATCCTGAGGTGTGGGATCAAAATGCACAAAATCGAAGGTGTATTAGAACCGATTGAATAAGAACTGAATGATATGGGGTTCCTTTTAGTCACCTTTAATGCACTAACATCACAGTTCTTCAAACTAGTGCGATCGTATTGAACTTAAATCCTGCTGTAAATTAGTTATTCATCGGTACCCATCAGTAGTATCTTTTTTACTTTATTCTTTTCCATTTTCAGTAGAATAAAAGGCTAAATCTAGAAATTCGAAGCTTCAGTAAGGGTGGTTTCTGAAGCAGAGTCACTAGTCGCACACCCAACCTTCCTGGTTTACCTGCCAGCTCAGCGAGGTTCAAGAGTGCGTTGGCCAGGGATCGAACCTGGGTTCACGTACCTGGTTGGTTAGCATTCTACTACTGAACCACCCATGCATATCAGAAGTATCACCTAAGGTTAACTTCTTTGGTTCTTAGCTGACTGAGCAGTCGTGTTCAAGTATCTGCGAACTAAGATGATTGAAAACTGAATTTAGGAGTACTGGGGTTTACATTGACCATATGTTAGATACTTGTTCGATTGTATCGATATGTGTCAAGAAATCGTCATGTTCATTGGTTGCTAGCTTCAAACACCGATAGCGCATACCGAATTGTTCGCAATGGTCTCTAAACTGTGGATTCAGTGACGTAACTGTACCACTCACAATTCATTCATGTGTTCTTTTTTAGGAAGAACTAGATGACGCCACAACGACACGTCTGATGACAACCGTTGGGGTCCATCAGGTATGTCCACTGTTTTTTTAATCCCATCAAAGATGTACCAACAGAATAGGCTTTCACTGACTTTAACAACTTAGGGATTAACTTATTACTAGGGAATATTCTTGTTCACTTAGAGTATGCAAATGATACTGTATTCCTGGGTGAAGACGCTGATAAAACGAAGAATCTTCTAGACACCTTCAGCAGCAATGTTGGAGTGTCTGGCATTTGATTTGATCTTGCCAAATGTAAGATGATGCTGGGGGACTGGTCTGCATTGACTAGTAGCTTAAAGATGGACAGTAAGATGGCAGACCGTGCTAACCGGTACACTTACTTAAGAAGTTGCATCAGGTCTAATAGACTGATTGCTGACGAAATCTACTCGAAGATACAAATCCCTCATGTAGCATTTGCTAATTCATGTCAACTCTGATGTAGACGTGATATCCAGCTACCAATCATAGGACCTGTGTACTGGTCAGAAGTTTACTCCGTCCCCATTATAGCTGTGAGATACAGACACGAAGTGTTAGCTGAAATGGGACTAGGTTGGAAAAGAATTAGGCATGGTCAAACCAAAACCTGTCAAGTGTCCATGAAGTCGATAACAGTTCTTTTGCGTCAGCCACGTAGGGTGGTGTAGGCTGCCTGGTTGATGTCTTCAAGATACCAAGAACCACTGGCTAGTAAATACTGGATGTATGGCTTGAAACCATTCTCAGTGGCAAAGGTATATTCACTCTCTGTGATATCTCAGTAAACACTATCTTTTTCTGCCGCACATTACTGCTTATTATAGTACTCTTGAAACTGTCTTTTTCTCTCATTTTTATAACTTTGTGTGCTTTACGGAGTGTGGCAACTTGAACTGCCGTAGCACTTCTATACTAAGCTCCATGTTGAAACACAGTCTGTCAGTCATCTCTACATGGACTCAAAGTTTGCAAAAAGAGCAGCAGTGTTTAGTAATCACAAATCGAAATTATATTCATTCAAAATATTCACATTTATAGAAACAACTGAATACATATTATTCTTTATTATAAAATTTTTTTTTACTTCCCAATGAATGAAAAACAAAACGATTTTGTTGTTTTTACTGACGTTTCGCTATTCAATGCTGCTGCTAATGGCTTTATCAAAGTATTATTAAACCAGAATTTACTAAATCTGAGCCTATATATAACAACCTAATCATCCTTCATCAACAGGGGGTAATTCCTATGTTATTGTCAAGTTGGCCAATTGGTGAAGATAACAAAACCAGGTGTAGATTGTTGGATTTGATAAGTGCATAAAATTATAAAAGTTGCATGTGCTAACACAATGAAATTGCTTATCAAATTCGTGTCGACTTTTTCATTTCACGGAGAGGGGGAGGGTGTTGTAACCAGGTGAAATTCTTTTCAAGTCCATCATTCTTAATCAGACAATTTGGATTCCACTTGATATGAAGTGCTTCTGATATTGGACGTTCTTTGTCATTTCTGACATTTTCTGTGTTATTTCAGTATTGTCAAAATCAATTTTGTGGCCTGATTCTATAGCTTGTAGACCTACGGCTGATGATTTTTCAAGCTTTTCTAGTTCAACTGGATTTCTCAATGGTCGAACAGATACTCTACGGTGTTCATTTCTTCTGATTTTGATTTCTTCTGAAGTTTTTTCCAATGTATATCGCATTACATTCCAAGCATTTTATTTCATAGACACAATAAGATGCAGAATCTTTAGGGATTTGGTCTTTTACATGGACAAGGTTGCTTGTTAGTGTGTCTGGTGTTTTGACGAAAACTCCCATTTTTGTATTTATTGAGTACTCTTCTGAAGTTTATGATCTATATGGAATGACTACTGTTGAGCTCCATGCCTTCAGAATACGTTTTCGACCATATTTAATATCCGTGTTGATTTTGTTGATGAAGTTCCTTGGGTAGTTATTTTTCTTGAGAGTCTCACTAATGCTTCATATTTCTTCTTCTTTTTCTTTCTGATCCGTTATCAAGGAATTTGCTAGTCTAAAAAGACTAGAAACAACTGATATCTTTACGCTGACGGGGTGTGATGATCGAAAGTGTAAATATTTGTTAGAGTGGTTTTTCTCCCTGAACATAGATATCCTAAAAGTCCGTTTCCCTTTTCTTAACTAGTCAGTCTAGAAATGATAGTTCATCGACGTCTGATTCTGCTCCCGAAGCAAACTGGTTTCTGGGAGACAGACTGCACAGTTTTTCCAAGAATGAACTGTGTAGGTCTCGTTTTAGCACAACAAAAGTATCATCTACATATCTTAACCATATTTTAGAAGTGAGTATGCTTGAAAAGACCTTCGACAGCGTCGATCCAGAGGTGCTTTGGAAACTACTTCGCTACTACGGGGTGCCACCGACAATTATACATCTCATCCAACAGCTGTACGATTATGCTTCATGCCAAGTAATCCACGACGGGAAACTTACGGAGTCCTTCGAAGTGAGGACAGGAGTAAGACAGGGCTGCCTACTATCGCCAATGATTTTCCTGATTGCAGTAGACTGGATAATGCGACAAACAGCAGGCAATGAGGAAACAGGCATAAAATGGACTCACACAAAAAAATTGGAGGGTCTGGACTTCGCCGATGACACATGTATGTCTGATTTCCCACAATCTGGAAGATATGCAAGCGAAAAGCAACAAGTTGGCAGAAGAAGCATCCAGAGAATATAGGACTTCAGGTGAACATAGAGAAAACAGAGGTGATGAAGATTCCTGGGCAACACCACCAACAGCAACAACAACAACAGACAACGATCAGCATAAGTGGGACGAACCTGAAAGAAACAACCTCTTTTACCTACTGACCTGGGAAGCATCGTTTCAACTACAGGCGGACGGAACTGACGAGGATATCAAAGCAAGGATCGGAAAAGCAAGACAAGCTTTCACTACTCTCAAGTCTGTGTGGAGGCCAACAGCACTCAGCATCAAAAGTAAGATCCGAATTTTCAACTCCAATGTGAAGTCAGTGCAACTTACTATACGGATCAGAGACTTGGCGCGTCATAAAGAGCATCTCAAACAAACTACAGACCTTCATTAACAGTTGTCTTCGCTCAATACTCAAGATCAGATGGCTGGCCAGAAAAGATCAGCAACAGAGATCTCTGACATTGAGCGAACCAACACAGCAGGAACCGATTGTGAAACAAATAGGCAGGAAGAAATGGAGATGGATTGGCCATACTCTGAGGAAACAAACCATCAAGTGACATCACTAGACAAGCCACTGCTCGAGTGGAACCCGAAAGGGAAGCGGCGAGTTGGTCGTCAGTGCAAGGGTGACTTGGAGAAGGTCATGTGAAGAGGAGATGAAAACGTGTGGGCAGACATGGAGCCAGGTGAAGACTCTAACAGAGAACCGAACGCAATGGAGACGCACGGCTGAAGCCCTATGTTCCTCTAGGAATTAAAGGATACAATAATAATAATATATTAAATTATATTACATTATTTTGAAAGGAGAAAACGAGAAATGGCGTTATTTTACAGTTAAAATCATTTGTTAACTTCAATTATGAAAACGAAAAATGAGTCTGTACATACATACATATATACAGCCTATGAAAAGGCAGCTTTTTTCACAAAAATGAATAAACCAATTATATGAAAATATGGAAAATCAATAATGATAATCATCAATCCTGTAGCCATAGATACGCACATCACCAACAATACAAATTTCCCTTCTCTTTTTACAAGGCTAATTAATAATCGTAAACGAGGAGAAAGATTAGCAAAGATTTAAATTAAGCAACAGACACGCTGAGAGATACAAAAACACAAATAATGTTTGGGTATACTGTTTTTTCAGTGAATCCACATAGACTACTTAATAGGCGGATGTAGAATTTGGAATTTTCAAACGATTTACAGTGCTTACAGGAAAGGTTTTGTAGATATCATATATCTATTCTGTTCATGATTTATTGGAAAAACCAAAAGAAGTATGAAGGAAAATAGTTTTATATGCAGAAAGCACAAATCGGGGAAGGTTTCCAGTGAACTACATATTATATACATGTATGTGTGCGTAAGATATTCAATGAAATAAGGTTTCTTCAAAGCATTTTTACTGTAGTCAAAAGTAGGGGGATAATAAAGAGAAGGGGAAGGTGGAAGGTGATGATGACCATTACGATGATAATGGTGGTGCCGTAAATCCAGTTCCCAATTTTTGCGTATTTTCATCGATGTTTTCTCTTGTCATTGACTTTCTTCAAAGTACATAAAATCCTGTTTTGATAAAAAGGAAATGAAAGGGAAAAAGAGTCGAGTGAATTTCTCAGCTCTTCAAAAGCTAAAATTTTATCAAATGTGTGCTATAAATGGTAAAATGCCTTAGCTACTCAAATAAATAAAACTAGTATACATTTAGAAGCGTATATATGTATAAAATCAAGTTAAATCACGAAGTGGGATCGGTCAGTAATTATTAATATTAGTAGTATTATTACTCCCTTGGGTTCCGAGTGGAACATAGGGATTCAACAATACATCTCCATTTCATCGTATTCTCTGAAATCCTCACACAATCTCCCCCATGACACACACACAAACCTACACCAATTCCATCGTTTCCCACTACACAGCATATGTCCTATCCATCCCATATTGTCCTCGGAATACTTGTCGAGCAATAGGTTCTTGGCTGGTTCGTTCCAAGAATTTCTTGCTATTGTTTCTTTCTCGCCAGCAAAAAGGCACCTGTTGATGACGGTCTGCAATAGTCCGTTGGAAATGCTTTCCATGACGCGCACTGCAAGTCTGTCACCCCATGTAGAAGAACCAACTGACTTAATATTGGTGTTGAAAATCTGAATTTTACTGTTTGTACTGGTTGCAGCAGATTTCCGCACTGGTTTTGGATTGATGAAGTCCTGTATTGTCTTTCTCATCCTGGATGGTTTTAACATCGCTACCAGTGGTGTCGCCTGTAGTACAGACGATACTGCCCAGCTAGCTGGATAAGTGAAGGAAGTGACCACTTTCAGACTTCTCCTGTTGATAGCGATGATTGGTGCTGGTTGTTGCTTATGTTGGTTGGTTATCTTCATAATCTACGTCTTCCCAATGTTCAGTTGGAGTCTTGTCTTTGCTGCCAGCCTCTTCAGCATAACTGTTGGTTTTCGCCTGTGAGTATTTGAGTTTATGTGATATTAAACATCGATCATCTGCGAAGTCCAAATCTCCTAAAATCTGCTTCTCTGTTTGACCTATTGCTGTCTTCTCACTCCCCGCGCACAGTACACCAAATTTAGGAATACCAGGGGTAACAGTAGGCAACCTTGTCTTACTCCTTCCTTCACTTTACTGGCCTCGGTGAATTTTCCGTTGTGGATCACATGACATGTGGCTTTGTCATATAGCCGTTTAATGATGCCGATAAAGACATGGGGCACTCCGTGGTGTTGAATAGTTTGAAAATCAGTCAGTGAGCCACATTATAACCGAGGAGAATTGTGCAGGCGCTCTGTCCGAGGCTAGGATTCTCCAGCAGCTTATATCCATAACTACGAATCCAGGACCTTCTAATTACCAGGCGAACCCATTGACTATTCAACAACTAGAAAAGAGTCTCACAGCCAACCCATGAATCCTAACTCTCGCCAATCCACAATATATACCACCGGCCAATGTCATCCGTGGGTGTATATCCTCACACATGACTTGATGGATCCCAAAGCTCCTCAGTTTCCTAATGTCCTCAAGTGGAAAGTCACGACCGTAATAAGCAAAGCTTAGTAACATTTTTAATTTATGCCATTCATTTGGTAATAAAAAGTAAGGCATAAGTTGATAGATCTTAACTGTGAATTCCTTATTTCAGTGTACACAAGAAATATTCATCATCGCAATTATCCGGAGAACACAATAATCTCATTCGACTATTCTTTTTTTGTCACAAAATCCTATCAGCCCAACTGGTCTGAAACATAAGTCCTATCTGTGATACATATTACATAATATATCCCAAAAGCTATAATAATAAGAAGAAGAAGAATAAGGCTACTTACAATTAAGAAAACAGCAGCCAAAAGAACCGCTTTCATTCTGACTTCCAAATCCATAGGAAAGGTAACACCGAAATTATCTGCATCCGTGTATAATTCTTGTAAAATATTCGTCCATTTTTTAGTGATTTTACCGATTTCCACAGCACCGTTAGCAGAAGTAATCTTGAGTTAAGAAAAAAAAGATTACAAAGTAGAAGTATGAAATACAGATGAGTAAAAAGAAAAACAGGCCTTGCCTCACAATCAGCAAAACTGTTCACATACCCTTTGCTACGTATTCTACAATAGGATATATCAGTTGCCTGAAAGAGATTGATAAACTCCACCTAAGAAAGTGATCTATTCTATGATGAATATGCTTCTTGAATCCAGGTTATCACAGACGTGAGAAGAGCACTCAGATAAAACAGCGGTTGGCTAAACTAGATACTTAATTGGTGGATGGTGACTAGCAGTGGAATCCAGGATAACGCGCATTTCGTCCTATTTGGGACTCGTCAGCTACTGGATGTAACTGCATTTCTCAGTGAGTGATGATGTTCCCTGCACCGAGGCTCGAACCCAGTGACCATAGTTTCAAACGCCAAAGCGTTATCCACTAGACCACTTGGGCCACGAGAGATGGCCACCTCTTGTGCAACAGGTCATATTAATTTAACTGCTAGTCACCATCGACCAATTAAATACTAATTAAGTGGCCAGACATCGTCGAAGCATCTGCACAAGAAGCCGACATGTCAACCTGAGACCGAGCATTTCGGTCCAATCAGTCGACGGGAAAATCTAAAATTCAATTAAACTAGATAGTCTTTTGAATCAAAACAGAGGAATTATAATGATCAACCAACTACATCGGAGAATATATTATGTGCAGAACAATCAAATTACTCGCTAAATAAGTTCCACATACCACTTTCAGCATGACTGAGTCTTGGTTCAGTTATTATTGATTTACATTCACTTATTGTCATACTAAATATAAATATGCAGTAATTTCTGTTAATAAAACCAAAATAGATTGCAGTGATAAGTAGCGATTAATCGATTCGTCGATGGCGCCAAACCCTCAACTGAAACCCGAATGGGATACGACGAGTGGATTATCGCTTCGATGATGACATGGAGGAGATTAAAGTTATGGGCAGTCGTGAAACTAATTAAAGAGGACCACCAAAAACAGAACAAAGTGTAGACGTGCTGATGAAGGCCAATGTTCCACTCGGAACCCAAGGGAACAATAATAATAATGAGGTGGATAAAAACGGCAGTTAATCATTTATATCAGTAGTGACATCATCATCACTACCTGGTAGCTTCTTTCACAGCATCCTTTTTATTTAATAAGTAAATTGTGAACTTATGTTGATTCGCGATGAAATCAAACAAAGGAAATAAATATTGATCAGACTTCCCACAAATCCCAGAATCTAAATATCAATCCCCAAAACTCATTAAGGGCTACTGGATGAACGCCCTGTAGCGGTAGTGAAAAGTTTTAGGCCAGTAAGGTCCAGTATATCAAGGTGAAGGTACTGACTGAGGGTAGCGCCATATCATGAAATGACAAAGTTAGCATTCACGAGTCATAGAATTCCGGCCCTTGTTGGCTAAATGGTCAACGAACTTTCTCACGTAACCTTGAGGCCACAAATTAGATAAGTTTATTTCAAATATCACACAGTGATTCAGTAGTAATAACTGGATGACATTTCAAGCAGATCAGAGACTTGGCGCGTCATAAAGAGCATCTCAAACAAACTACAGACCTTCATTAACAGCTCAATACTCAAGATCAGATGGCCAGAAAAGATCAGCAACAGAGATCTCTGGGAGCGAACCAACCAGGAACCGATTGTAAAACAAATACACAGGAAGAAATGGAGATGGATTGGCCATACTCTGAGGAAGCAAAGCACCAAGTGACATCACTAGACAAGCCATCACTCGGGTGGAACCCGACAGGGAAGCGGCGAGTTGTTCGTCAGTGCGAGGGTGACTCGGAGGAGGTCATGTGAAGAGGAGATGAAAACGTTTGGGCAGACATGGAGCCAGGTGAAGACTGTAGCAGAGAACCGAACGCAATGGAGACGCACGGCTGAAGCTCTATGTTCCTCCAGGAATTAAAGGAAACAATAATATAATAATAATAATTTCAAGCAGAATTTAATTGCCCATAATCATTTCAATTAGTTACACGGCTTCACTATTTGTCTTATATATTCTTTCTATCTTTCTCCCCCTCCAAATTCCCTTTGTTGTTTATCGCTGCTTTCCATATCTTCGGTATAAGCGTTGCGTCATTTGGATTGCACGTGTGCGGTATCGAAGCTTCAGGAATTAACCCCTCTCTCTGCCCAACTATATTACTTTTCAATACTCTCGCCTTGTCCCATACTATTTTATGATTACACGTAAGAGAATGCAGTAAGAGTGGCCAAGCTTTCTTCTACGTGATTTAACTTAACAGGGTCAATTATTCCAGCTCTAGCTACATTTTTATGTTCCAGTAGTCTAAATGACCCCGATTTACTAGTTTGACCTATATAATTGACCTCACAGTTATTACATGGTATTTGATAAATTATATTATTATTTCTTAATTTGATCTATCGTGTCTTTAAGTGGAAAACGTTTATCTCTGACAGAGTTGGTTGGTTATTTGGTTTGTTTAAATGCAAGTCTAATTCCAGCGTCACTGAGAATTACACCTCAGGCCTTTGATGTTCCTTCTTTACACGCCAGTTGTTAATGTTGCACCACTGTGTGATATTTAAAATAAATTACATCCTACCATAGTTCCCAAGATCTACACTTACATTACTGCAAGTTCCAAGTTTGACTGCTGATTGCATCTTGGGTGTGAACTGCCGACGGGTCCTAAAACAGGAAGAAACAGTCCACTATCCAGTGCTCCTGATTGGTTTTCAACGACTGGTGTTGGTTCTTGATGAAATCTAACATTTGAAATTAAAACTAATCGAAGTCCTAACAAATCCCAAATAATCTAAATTGCGAACAGAGAATATCTCCTACTACCAACACTGCATAGCTGATTTTATTAACCCGTAAAGTGGCGTCGGTGGCATAGCGGTTAGGACGCTCGCCGACCATGCACATGGTCCGGGGTTCGATTCCCGGCCGACGCACTCCTTGACCTCGCTAAGCCAGAAATAATACTGGTGAAGAGGAAAGGTTGGGCATGAGGCTAACGACCCCATCCTGTAAAATAAACACTGCTAAAGAAACTTCAAGCCACTAGCTTGAAGCCCTATGTTCCACTGGGGAACGTAAGGGATAAAAAAAAACTGATACACCAAAAACTCACCTAACGCTACTTTAATGAATAAAACTAACACATTTAAGCAAGCAAAAAATGTTAATAATATGCAAAGCCTCGCCACCCCCCAAAAAAGATAACTAAACAATACCTTAAAATCAATGTTTTGTCCAATACATTTGCACAGACAATACGGTGGACCATGAATTTGAAGAACCTTAGTCTGATTTTGATCCAGTATATGATAATTACGATAACAACCATTATAGACTTGTTTCACATAGCCTATAATATTGCCAGGAGGAGATTCCACTTCAATTTCACTTAGACAACAATCACAGCAACTGAAATGATGTAAGCAAACCAATAAACAAGAAGAAGAAGAATTAGTAAATCCAATGAAACATCGGAAACTAATGGTCACCTGATGAAATCCGATGCCGTAAATTCAATTATACTTTTAATGATACGTTGCACGAACTACAAATAGAACTATATATGTAATGAACTATGCATGGTAAACATTAGATTTGCCTTACACCTTACACACCAAGGAACTCAAGATACAAACAAAACAGTTTGGGATTCAGATTAGTACTTTCTTGGATGAGTATAGTTACTTCATGCATTTATTCCCCTTGATGAATTTGAATAAAGCAAGAACAACAGTGGTTTGTGCAGAATAATATGGTACCATCATTTATTTCGTTGGCTTCTCACCAACTGCTTACAGCCTAAATAAATTATAAAACTTTCTTGTACGTAAACCTCATGTTATTATTATTGTTCCCTTTGGTTCCTAGTGAAACATAGGGCTTCAACCGCACGTCTCCACTTGCTTCTGTCTTCTGCTGTACTTTTCACTTGCATCCATGTTAGTCCATACTGTTTCAGCTCCTCTTCACACGATCTGCCCCATGTCATCCTTGGACGTCCCACTTGCCGCTTCCCTTTCAGGTCCCACTCGAGCGTTGGCCTGACGCGCGATGTCACTCAGCGGCCTCCTCAGCGAGTGCCCAATCCATCTCCACTTTCTCCTGCATATTTGTTGAGCGATTGGTTCTTGCTTTTTTTGTTCCCATAGTTTCTTGTTGGTGATTCTTTCCGGCCATCTGATCTTCAGTATAGAGCGAAGACAGTTTTAACATACTTGTAAATTTTACATGTTGTCAGTTGACAAAAAGTTCCACAATTAATGAACGGTGCTCAGAAAATTGCGCTTACATAGTTTTTACACAGGCAGTTCAAGTTTAAACAAAATAAATGTATGCATACAATGGTAAAGGAGTTGCGTAATAAAGACGAGAGTTGCGTCAGATGCAAAGTGACTGATAAATTAGGTAAAGATGTTCTGTTTTTACACAGGCACATTGGAAGGACAGAAAGAAGGGCATGTCTACGATTTTCTGAACATGTACCTAAACGTTTACGTCTAAAGGGAACAAATGCTTTAAACAGTGCCATCGCCATGCATCTCCTCGACGCCGGTCATGAGGTGAAAATCGAGAAGTCCTTTAAAATAATCAATCGAAAAAGGAGCTCCATTCTCCTCAAGTTTGCCGAAGCAATTTCTATCAAACGCTTCAAACCAGATTTATGTGTTCAGAAAGAAGCAGTTACTAGTCTTTCCTTGCCCTGGTAACTGGATGTCTCTATTCTCTCATCTGATTACGTAATCTTTGTCTTTAACCTCACCCCCTTTTTTATAATCTATAATTTTGCTTGTCTCTTGTTTCTATGACGTGATTTGAACTCAGTACATCGTTACCAAATTTATTAGTTACTCATCATCTTACTCACCTCTCGTCTTTATTACGTAACTCCTTTACCATTGTATGCTTACATTTATTTTGTTTAAACTTGAACTGCCTGTGTAAAAACTATATAAGCGCAATTTTCTAAGCACTGTTCACTAATTGTGGAACTTTCTGTCAACTGACAACATGTAAAATTTGCAAGTATGTAAAAACTTTTCTGTACGTAAACCTCAAAATTTACTTAGGCTGTAAGCAGCTGATGAGAAGCCAACGAAATACATGATTATAGTTACTCTGGAAATCACCTCACCAAAGAGTTACTTTATCCTATTTTCACATAACCATGTTGTTTAACCCTGTACTCACCATCACATAAACGTCAGCCAAAGTGTCTTCAAATGAACTGTTTTATATTTTGTTATGAAGAGGCTACGATGGATGGAGACAATCATTAGCTTAGATAAATTCTGTGTGAAAGGAGCTGCCAAACCTTTAATCTTCATAAATGTGCAACACACTTGAATACCATATAGAAGAATTTAATTGCTAACCGCGTAACTTTTCCTCACCACAAATGGCATAAGATACGCAGACTGTTTTTTTATTCATCGGAAGACCACTCAGAGTAATTGATGTGTCCCACTAGACGATTAAGTCACAAATAGCGCATGGGACTACCGGTGGCGATCTGATTAAAAGACTTCGTGCTTGACATACATATGCACCACTAGATGAAGTGGCCACGAAAATTCTCAGGTGCCCTACTCACAATCATCACGTGGAATTATATGAATAATAACATGTAGGTCTTTGATGCTTATCTCACAAACAGTGTGTATTTATCGAGCGAGGTGCCAAAGTTTACCCACTGAAGCCTATTTTCCTATTTCCTACAAGACATTGGGTCCAAGTGAATCAGAAACCTAGTTGCTGAACCAAATATTTAGTATGATACTTGGAAGGATAGTGAGAAAAGTGACGCAAAAGAAACACTGAGTAGACACAGAAATTGTATGTTCTTTACTTTGCGCATTTCAAATAACCGTTTTTCTTGAGTGAAATATGATCATTGACAAGTAATGAATGGCCGTAATCAATACATTTAAAATTACAAGTGTAAGCAAAACACGTTGTTCAGCGAAGCTGTGGAGCCAGATATATTGGTCGTTCGATACGTATCCTGTCTAAAAGGGTCCCACAACACTATCCCACAGCATGATTGCTGAAAGGTAGTAGTGGATCTATAAGGAGTGAGATAATCGAACACTTTGTCAACACTGGTCATTTCATCTCAACAAACGCCTCCTTCAAAGTAATCTACAAAGTGAAGAATAACCTACCAAAGGCAATACGCTTTCGTCTCCTCTGCACTTCTGAAGCCTTAGCCATTCACTTGTAAAAACCCGGAGTTATGCATAAGAAAGGAAATTATTCAATCACTTCTACTATCATGGTAACAACCTGGTTGATTTCTAATGACTTGATCTAACTCTTTATAATTCTTGTATATCTCTAGAACTCTTGCATAATTGCATATTTTCCTTCGTTTCTAATTGCATCCTGATTACAACCCATTCATTAAACCACTCATCTTATTACTTATTCAAATCTTTTTATGCATCGACTAATATTAACAAATATACTTTGATTGGACACTAGTAACTAGTGCGATGTGTCTAGTCTTTTCTTTGGTGCAGACTGAATTCTATCAGTCAGGTTTGCAATGTGGCCACCATGCTGGGTAGCTCGCCATCACGGTGTGCATTGATTTGATGATATTAGATGGTTGGAGGAAATCCGTAGGAAGCCTTGCTCAACCTAGGTTTCGTGCTAGTTGGCACTCGTCAGCAAGCGTATCTGCAAACTTGAAGGAACTCATGTCCCTTCTGAGATTCGAACGCGCGTCACCCAGTGCTGCAGTCAGAGACGTTGCCACTCAACTATTCAGGCTCACAATTGACCTGTTGTAGGACTGTATTGGATATTTTTGATTGAACGCTAGTCAGTAACTAGTGTGGTGTGTGTGTGCAATGTGGCCCATTGCAAACCTGACTGATAGAATTCAGTCTGCACCAAAAAAGACTAGACACATCGCACTAGTTACTAGTGTCCAATCAAAAATATCCATTACGGTCCTACAAGAGGTCAATTGTGAACCTGAATAATTGAGTGGCAACGTCTCTGACTGCAAAACTGGGTGACACGGGTTCGAATCTCAGAAGGGACATGAGTTCCTTCAAGGTTGCAGCTACGCCTTGCTGATGAGTGCCAACTAGCACGAAACCTAGGTCGCAAGGCTTCCTACCGATTTCCTCCAACCATCTAATATCATCAAATTAACAAATATGTTTGTGACTATCCATCACTTTTGTTGCCATCCTCTTTCATGAAAAAAATTGTATATAAATGCAAGTGTACAGCTAAAGAAACTGAAGTCGCCAAAAGGAAGCCTCTTCGATGAACTACGTGTTCTGTTCTGATTAATGTCTGGATAAGGATTATTCATACATAAAATTACAAGACAAACAAAGTGATGAATACAAAGGTGAATAACAAAAAACCAACACGTACGAACAACATGGGAAACAATCACAGCGAAATGGTCGTCTTGCAAGGATAACCTCCGAATTGTTACCATCCACAATATGCAAACGAAAAGGCCTTGACGATCCACAAAATTCACGTACACAAAAGCCGGATTCTGTAAAATGTTAACATAAGATAACATCAGATGAAAATTGTCATAATAAAAGGATTAACCTGTGGTTACTCAGCCAGTCGTGAACTTAAGTCAATCAAAGGAATGTCTACTTCATGACTGCAGCCAAGAAGGATAGTTCAAGATTACTAGTGAATGCCTCAGTTGCAGTGATGGAATCGCATTCACACTTATTTCCGCTATATTATATGTGAAAATTCTGTTCAATAAACAATGCTTACACATACAGTTTGCTTTTGGTGACAAAATATCTGTTCTCCTACTATCTTCTTTTATCTACAGCATGCCCATGCACTGTATCACTAAAGTAGAGAAGCTTCAATGCGCATAAAACAACAGTACTGTGTGTCACTTCTTCAAATTCATTGTAAGACTCAGTTTTCTGAAAGTAGTCTGTTAGCAAAATATTAACTGAACTAGAAAAAACATGAGATCAGACAGTGAATAAGATGGAAGCAAGTGAAAACATGATGACACTACAAAGAATAAACATGAGTGTTAGAAAAGAGACAATAATTATGCATGTTTTAGTGTAAATACTCGAAACCTTTAAGATGAGGAGAGAATACATTTGAGCCACTGTGAACTGTATCACACAAGACTGAGTTTCAACAGAGAAATTAGCACAGAAATGCAGTGGTTCAAATTACCAAACTCCATGTAATACATTAGGGGTTAGACAAAAGGGAGAAAAAGGGACTTGAAAGGAATGTGAGTGAGAAAGAACTGTAGCGTGGAAAAGAACCATAATGGTTTGGTGAATACGGTAGATCACAAAGAGTAAATGCGTCTTCGTCATGGCGATTCGATCTTATTCCAATAATCTCCAATCATTGACTCTTAGCATCAAGAGGACCCCAGTCAGGTAGACTAAACCTCTCTTTGTGGCTTAAACCAGCTGTCGTAATCTTCATGGATGGATGACAGGTTTTGATTTGATCAACTGCAACTCTTTTCCAAAACTAATTCAATGTTGGATAACGTTTCTCATCAAGGAAGGTAGTGACTAAACAGAAGTATATACATACGTTCATCAAGAAGCTGTACACAGTTTCCAAAGACAGCAAAGCCATTGGTAAACTGAGTCACATCAAGACGGGACCCTAAAGCATAATTTAACATGCACTCAGAGCTCCATAGTTTTGTGGAAGAGGAGAAAGGTATTCTAGTGACCAAAGAAAAATATTTCCCTAGACAAATGAATCCGCTTTACTTCTTCCCTTTTAGTTAGCGGTTTACTATCTTCATTAGCTAATGAGGATATATAAGAGTACTTATGAGAATTCTAAATGTTTTAATCTGTTCCTGATAATCGATTAGTGACAGATGATTGGAATTTCACAAAGCAGACCATGAATATTTAAATCTTGCACACCCTTTAAGAGAAATGCATTTCTAATCACTTACCTTCGTAGCATTTATAAACGGGTTGTCCCAAAACGTTGTAACATGTATACTGATTTTTCGTCTCAAAAGACAGTATTACTAAACATAAGGTGATAAAAAAATGTTTAATTTGTTAGACGAGCATATATGATTGCTTAGTTAAGAAAATTTCTCCAAACCATCACCACACTGCAGATAATTCATTGAAAATGATTAAAACTCCCTCAAATTCGACGACTTTACTCCAACTTTCCAAATTGTTACTTTGAATAAAACAATGATTCATCTTTTTTCACTGCGAGGACACTTTATGAATATCTTTCATCTATTCGACGGAGTTCCCTGGAAATCTAATAAGAAGTTGTGACCAGTGAAGTCCATCCAGTCAAGTGTGAGGAAGGATGTCCTGCCGATGACATTGGTTGGTGGTCGCGCTAAATACACCGCGAATTGGTAGAATTTAGAATTCGTGGGCTGGCCACTGAATTGGGAGACAGTGGCTGAATGGTATACGAGCTTGCCTTGTAACTGGAAGGCCCTGGGTTCGAGCCCCGGCGGTGGGTGCGTACTGCCGATGATTCTCAAACTAGGATGGAACAGCTGTCCCGTACTCAGTGCTGGTTTTCAATGGTTCTCTAACTGATACTAATCCGTGATCAACTCGTAAAAACAAATCTAATCCTTACAGACCAACTATTGAAAATGAAATATTGATTAAGTTCACAAACATAAAGAGTTTTAATACAACAGTAGTGAAAATTAGGCTTCATGTGGATTGGACATCAACTTCTCGACTCTTATCACTATAAGTTGGTGGACAGTGTACCATTTAACCGAAAATTTGATAACTTTATCATAAAACCATCAATGTCTTCAATTTGTTTATATCATCTCCCAAGATAATACCATTAGACGACTGACACTGGAGGCGTAAGTACCAACAAAACTCATCTAGCCGACTCTTGTACCAACACGTCAGATCACAATTACAACAATTGCAAAAACCTGAGCGAAAACACACCAAGTAAACCTGTAAGCAAAATTCAGGAGTAATGTGTCATTCAAGTGTTTTGATATATGTGACCACCAACTTACAGAAGCAACTGAAGTGAACCTATTTTATCTGCATAAGTTTTAATTTTGGTAGATGCTTCTTTTTGGTATTCACTTTAACAAAGTAATGAATCTAACGTCAAATGCTATGCTCTGTGTAATTTATGGAAAAATATTTACCAGGAGATATAAATGATGGAAAAGCAGTTAAGACTTACTTTCACAGAGTTCTTTCGACTGTTTAACTAGCAGTTGATCTATTTGTGTCAAGTATTCAAGGCCAGGAGGGCAGTTAATTGTAGCTGGTTTCTGCATCCACATAGCTGAACTGAAAATAAAATGTGAAGATATGAACACCAATTATGTGATTGTTTACTCACATAATTACTAATTTAATCCTACTGACCTTCTAAAAATGTTAACAATCACCGATTATGGTATGAGAACTAAATAAACAAAATCTAACACAATTTCACCGTGGTGTATACACTTTAAATTCCTGGATATCGTCATACCACTTCTCTATTTCATTGACTTGTTCGCCATATGATCATGTCCTCTGTACTCTTAGTACCATGAAGACTTTAATTCAACGGATTTGTGGTACTTCGGAACATTAACTAGTGGGATAAGAAAACGTAGATCCGATTGATATTGTGGATAGATTTGAATGGCATCATGTGGTCATTTATAAATGACTTCTAGAATTATGTTTTCACACACACTCACTTAACTAATGTTTTCATCTACGACTTACAGTTCAGAAGAACGAAGACAATGTTTAGTTTCTACTAATTAGACATTTTATGAATATGTTCTATTGCATTCTTGAAATGCCATTTTTAATATATGCCAATTAAATTCATGTTAGTGACATGAGTTCGAACTCACAACATGGACAACATGGATAACACAAAAATTATTCTTCCCAACGTACAATAGACTTCAGCTATGATGGTAATTGCGAATAACTTTTCCACTCAAGTGCATGAGTGGTAATGCCTAGGAGGACTAGTCGTTATATTACTGGTATTAAAACATCTGGGTGAAACTTGCAACGAAGATTATGAACAATCCAAGCTCACAATAATTCTAAACTAATTATAACCTATGCGTCAATAATTCCTTCTTATGGTAGATGAATATTTTATTTATCTTACAATCAAGAAGCGAGCTCAAAGAAATCATTGGTTTATACTAGGTCGTAATCAGGAAATTGGATATTGGAACCCACTATGTACCGAAATAACATTGGTCGTTCTTAAAAAGAGCACTGGACGCTTAATCAATGCGATGAATGCTTAAAAATAGGATTTGCAGCTGAAATAATGCCTACATTACTGAAAAATTTGCAACTATGCTCTGAACTACGTCTTTTCGTTCTGAAGTAATGCTAGCCAGTGCTAGATCTGAACTGAAATGGTTGAAACAACTCTGATAAACAAACCCAATAGATTCTGATCTAATTCTGAAAATTCCTTAAAAAAGAACAGGTTCTCAGCCAGCAACGATTTCGGGCGCATTGCAGATTTTGGGGCAGACTTCGGGCGCATTGCAGACAATCGCATTCAGCAATTGCTGAATTAGTAACAGACTTGCTGAAAACCAGCACTGAGTTATAGTCTGTTGGCTTAATCAAAATACTTCACAACAGTTACAGAATGTACTCACTATAGAATATCGGAATTAGTTCAGAAGTAGCGAGATTTAATTCAGTATTACAGTAATTGCTGTTCCCAAACTTAAGTTTGGGAACATCTATGTGTGTCAGGAAAATTGAAAAACTCCAAACTAATGCAAAGTTTAAAAAGGCATGATGTCAAACGCAGTTTCTTGTGAAAAATCTCCACATTGAAAAAACCGACGAATATATATATGTACATACGGTAAACAATTAGCCGTCGTAAATTTTATGTTACACTACGCATAGGTCATTTGGAGGATTTCTGTGAGATTGAACACCAACATTAATTTATCAACTGTTTATATGAGTTCCTATTTGTTATATGCGAAAATGGATTTTGAGTACACTTACAAATCACCGCTGTTACCTTCACCGTTCAAGGCCAATAAGGGGATTGAAAATGAATTATACAAAGAAACGATATCCAACCATTCAGTCTGTTCACAAATAGAAATTTCAATCTTCTGCGTTACAGGAGTATGCAAAACAGCTAATCATTCAGATAACGCATAGGCATTGAAAAATTCAACTTAACACTTTTCATTTTGCCACTATATGATGGCTTTTTTCCTCATTGAAAGGTATATATATACACCTAATGCTCATATTTAAAACAGGGTGTTTGACCGGAGCTCTTCAAAAAGGATTAGAACTTGATGAAATAGTTGCCTACTGAAGACGCTTCGGAGTTCCTAGACTGCAAAATGCTTTACGCTAATAGAGTCTGCTAGTTTGAATCATGAATTCCGTACCCCTTGCTTTTAGAAACTTGCATGAGAACAACATTTCCATGAATATTTATAGTTGAAAAAGCCTACTAAGTTAATTGGTCAGAAGCTTTTATTTTAAACACTGTCTGCCTACCTTCACTGCTTAAGTCGATTGGTTGAGTTGAATCTACCCCGTCACATACTCACGCTATTCACTACACTTACATATACTCCAACTCGTGCGCTATACCTAACTGGATATGCATGTATCACTGCTCATCTCAAAATTTGCAGTAAACTGTTGCTTTCTTTATGCTTGCAAAATTTTCTATGGCTCTCGTCAAATACGTACGTTGCGAGGTCGTGAACGAAATACGTGTGGGAATACACTAGCGTATCATCTTCTAAGTATTCCTAAGGAACACATACAACTCTTGAGTTTTGTAATAGTAATCAACCGAAAACCATTTAATCTTTTAGTAATAAGAGTAATTAACTTCACCTAGTTTGCTATTTAGCCAATTTTTTAGCCCTACCGAAGCCTGGGAAAATAAGCGAGGTTGAGGGCGGGTTAGCGGCCCCAGTCCGGGAAGTCAATGCAATCGCCCCAGAAACCCCAAAACATAACGAAGGTATAAAAAGGCAAACCTACTCTTTGCTGGAATCTGCGAGACGGAATTACATGGACTGGCAAAAACATTGTGTATTCTTTTGACGAAAGCAACCATTAGTATGAGAGTGTGGGATTTTCGGAAATTTCACGAAGCCCAGTTTATCAAAGAAATGAGAATATATGGCATATAGCTGCTAGCACTCAGTGAGAGCAAGTGGGATGGATGTGGAATAGGTAAACTGTGGACTGGAGAATCAGTAATCTACTTCAGTCAGCCAGATGAAAACCACAGGCATAACGAGGCATTGGCTACCATGATGTCATCAACAGCAGCCAAAACTTCAATGCAGTAGAAATCGGCTTCATTCAGGATTACAACAGCAAGATTCTACTCAAAATGAAGGAAGGTCACAATTATCCAACGCTCTGTACTTACAAATAACTCAGAAGAAGTGAAGAAGGAAGATTTCTACGGACAGCTGAAAACAGAAAAGGATGAAATCCAGGTTGATGTCACTGAATCCTCAAGGGCGATATGAATACTAAACTGGGAGCAGATAACGCAGGAGGAGAACTTACCATGGGTCAAGAGGTACTTGCTGGGCGAAATGAATGAAAACGGGGAAATCTTTGTAGCTTTCCGTACATTCAGTAGTTTGGTAATTAGAGACGGCGTGTACAAGCACACGGACGTAGACAAAATGACATGTATTCAGCCTGACGGACGCACTACAAACCAGATAAACTTCTTCTCAGTCTCAAGAAACAAGGAGGCAGCCTGCTGGACACACAGTCGAGAAGGGGAGCAGATTTGATCAGAGACCACCATCTAGTTCAAGGAACCCTCAATGTTAAGCTAAAGACCTTCAAAACTGTTGGACACATACAACAGCTCAAGTTCAACGCTCAAGAAGTGAAGGATGAAACTACAAAAGGTACCCTCACTGTGGCTATCATGGAGAAGTCGGAAGCACTGCGTGGTGTAATGGTAAACCTTAGATAGTATAGTCCTCAGCCTAGTCAATTACATCTGTTTCAATTCTACTACTTACGCGAATGATGTTCAACCACCTTTCTGATTTTATATTATATTAAGCAGCCATACCTTCTGACATTTTACATATAAACATATATTACATGCATAATACACTGCTATTTCACGTGTGAATTACTACCCTCAGGTCATAGTTATCCATTTTCACATAACTACCCAAAATGTATAATGTTAAAACATTTCTTAGTATTTTTTCCATAATATAAGTTGATGAGTCACTCTACAATGTCTGACGCATACCACACGAAAAGCAGTAAAATGAAATGTATTTTTGACAGCACCGGAATTAAATATGAGTTAAGATCCTCAGCATAGAAAAACAGTAACGGGTTGTTTCGATCTAAATTTTTTCAAAGAAACGCTCATGGTCTTGACAACTACAAGTCTGAGCAGCTTCTTGTGAAGATGCTAAGCCATGGGCCCTTCAAAAATTCGTGAGAAGTGTTTCAGGTCAGCATGTCCCAAGGTTCTAATCTATGTAGCCACCTTTCACTAAGCTATCATTTATATGGTTCACAATAATTTGTTATACCAGTATTAAATCTTAAATACCTAGGTTCACAACCACAAAAACAAAACTAATGCATCGAAAAATTCATATTTTCCATCCTGAGACCAGCATGGATATCAGTGAAAATGTGTATTACCATTCCAAGGACTCTATAGCTCCCACTTGCATGTATTTGCAAACGTAGATTCAATGATGAATCGTTGAATTCGGGACTCCAGGCGAACATACTGAAGCCTGAGAAGATAAACATAACCAACTAGCAACAACAACAGGCACCGAATACTGAAAAAGCTACCAATTTCAAAGGTCACTTCCTTCACCTATTTGGACATCTTCATTTCAATCGCAAAGGATAGCACAGCTGGTGATGTCGAGAAAAGATACGGAAAGGCAAGGTAGATTCACTGCACTAGGCATGAGCAACAAGACCCGAATTCTCAACACAATTGTTGAGTCAGTCACTTCTTCTATATGGGTCTAAAACTTGGCGTGTTACAAAAAGCCTTTCCAGCAAGTTGCAGAATTTCATCAACAGCCGCGTCCACTGACTTCATTTTTAGGATCAAATGACCAGAAAGATTTGATAACAAGAAATTCCTGGAGTTAGCCAATCAATTACATATCGCTCGACCAGTATGTAGAAGAAAATTGAGATAGGTTGATCATGTGTTGGGGAGAACGTCGAATGACTTCATGCGCCAGGGCATTGCCTGGGTGGAGCCTGAATGGGAAACGATGATTTCGACGTGTGGGGGTGACATGGGGATTACGTGTGAGGGTAGATGAAATACTATGAGTGGACGCGGGGCCGGATAAAGAGGACAGCAGAAAACAGAACAAAGTGGAGACGCGCTGTCGAAGCACTATGTTTGACTCGTAACCCAAAGGAACAATAAAAGTTAACGGGTAATCTGATTTTATCGGGCTTATATTTGAATCGAAGGATCCACGTCTTCACTTGAAATGAAGATGTGTACATTATCATAGTGATGTTTATCTCGGCATACATGTAAGTGACCGAAAATTGTGAAATCAGTTAGAATCGAAGGGGTCAAACAAGTTCATTAACCCAGTTGAACCTCAGCCGTTTCACCGTCAAAGGCCAATTTGTTTATCCGTGCAGATTTAAACAAATAGTGATTAGTATAATTTTCAAGAGACAAGATCTCGGCAGCTTCACTGTAGTGTGATTGTCTACTTGTACGCTCTCTTCAAATAATCGCCAAAAAACTCACCTTACAGGAGACACGAGTATCACATTCTCCCTTCGCAAGTTTGGATGGTATTAAAGACACCTTGTCCACCAGGCTAGGTGTATCAGGCTAAAGAGTCACCATATGGAGTGGCCAGAGCTCAGGTAAAGCAGGATAGATGGGCACACATCAGTCATGAGCGGCATTCACAATTGAAACCAACTCGAAAAGAGCTCGAAATCGTTAAAGCAGCGTTGATAACTGGTTTCCTTTGAAGGACTATCAACAACAATTATGAGAAAACTGAGTTCAATCATTATAGTTTGTGCCAGTGGATGGTCTTATAAATTTAAAAAGGTTTTAGAAGCCAATATATCAGATTCATTCAGGCCGCTTAATACGTTTCTTGCACTTGTGGAGATGTTGAACTTAAGTGTTTTCGGTAAATGGAATTTCGTTAAAACAGAGGTTTATACCATGTGTGATGAAGAAAACAGATAGAACATCGTATGGTTTATGCCAGCAAAGCACTATTACTGATTTTCCACGTATAGAATCACCTGGCTGCGATTTGGTTTTCCCTCTATTCTGCCTCAAATATGCAATTCTTTCTATAATTGTTATCAGCAAGGTGACATACATTTTTAGCCAATTATCTTTCTGAATGGCATAAAATTCGTCATGACCGAAAATACGACCCAGTACAGCGCGCTCATTGAATACGACACGCGTTTTCCTCTTTAACCGGAAAACACCTATTCTGTGAATTATTCGCTTGGGAAACTTGAGTTTCCTAGCTGGGGAATCAAATTCCACCATTAATTCCATATCAAATCTCTCTGTGGTAAGTCCAGCTTTCTGGAACTACTTTCATTGATCATGTACTACTTCTTTAGCTGCATCTTTCTCACTTGTTAAGATGAACAAGACCTATTGGTCTGCCAAGTGGTTGCTGTGAAGCCGAGTAACCAAAATGTACTATGCAAAGTCGAAAACCTTTTCTTTTCTTTATCCTGTACTTTATCAATCTTTTTGTTCTTGTTCTATTGGGCAGATACTGTCGCTATCTCTTATTCATATGTGGCATAGTAATTGTTAATATGGCGGTTGAAAGCAGCCTTAAAAAAGCACTTAAGCATCATATTCTGTTGTCACAAGGGCTTCAGCCAGAGGAGGCAATACTCCAGGGACATCAGCCACATCTCGCGTACCAATTCTAAAGACCCGTGAACATCTTCCCTGCTCTGATATTATGCCTACATTGCCACAGTCTAGCACCGAAACGGCACAGGC